TACAGAATAAAAAATAGTAATTGAGTAATTATTGATTAATAATTATTATTTTTTATCTTTAAAAATACAGGATAAATAAAACCTTATAATTATTATTATTATTATTATTATCATTATTAAAAATTGACTCAATTGATTAAAAATAAAATTTAAATTGGGTAAAAAATGTATAAAAAGATCATATAACCCAAGATTTGGTGTATATATAAATATATAAATAACAATAGTCAATTATTTATTATTAAAGCCTATTAAACAAAAACGTTTTAAATAAAAAGAGTGAATATGGTCTACATTGTTTTGGTAAATTGAAATAGACACGTGATCACTCACCATCACTAATTTGAAATTTACAGGAAACATGGCGAAAACTTCTCTTCACTTGTGATTAAAGTCTATAACGTTTCTTTGATTTTGGAAAACATAGGATTCTCTGTGCACTTTAAAAAATGGAAAAAGAAAGGGAAATTTCTCTTCAAGCGTGTGAATAAAGATTCAATTATCACCCACAACTAGGTGAATGAGTTGACAGGGAACTCTTGTCGTCTAACCAGAGGTATTAATTTCAAATCTTGAGAATGCAGATCTGTTAAAACTCATGAAAGAGTTTTGTCACCTGTTAAGTCTTGCCCAACTTGAAATCAGTGGATTAGTGGGTTTTCAAATATCGGGTGATCCATACTAAAAAAAAAATAAAAATTCAATTATCTAAAGAGACAACGAAAAGTAATTTTTTTCTTAAGCATGGTAAATTTGCTACGTTAAGGAACTTACAAAACATTCAACTACCAATAACTATCAAGTTTTTTTTTTCTTTTTTTTCTTTTTTTAACCATGAATTACCATTGATTATGTGATAAAAGTAAAGACATTTTTATGCTAAAGAAAGTAAAATATTTTGAAGTCAAGTTATATGATATGGTTGTTTCAACTAAAAAAAAAAAGGATGGCAAGATTTCTCATTTTATTAGTCAGAATTTGATTTCTTGCGGAGGAGGTTAATGAAGAATAATTAATTCACTTTAAGTGATGTGGGGTCTATATATACTAACTGAATTTATCATATTATCAAGTCTGCTACCATATTTGAATCAAAATTTATGAGTATTTAAAACTTAAAACTTAATTTGTTAATAGTAGTTATTTTTAATATTTATATAATAAATTTACTCACAATTCCTCCATAAAGTGAGATTTGAGACTTTAAAATTTACTCAAATAAAAAGTGTCCTAAACAAAAAAGAATGAAAAATGAAACGAGACTGCTTCCCAAGTACACAAGCCCACAATTAAAACAAGACGGATTAAAATGGGATTCCGGTTAAGTATCATATGTATCATGTGATTTTACATGAAACATTGAGAGGAAGAAAGGTCAATGACCAAATTTTCAGGGCAGTTTAAATGCAGTGAATATATACTAATAGATAGCTATATTAGATAGTTTCTTGAAGTAATTTTAGACGAAGATGGATCAGTACAAATTTATTCAAAATCTATGTTCGGTTTGGTCAATGTTACATTCCGCATGCACCTTGCGTCAGAATTTAACCTTTCTTCCCAACTTACATGCACCATGGAAAAGGATAAGTGTTGACCCTGGACTCGTTCTGTTAATTGGTCGTCTCTTTCCTAACTAATAAATACTGCATGGTAATCACGGTGATTAAATCACATACACTTAAAGATAAGTCTAAGAGTTTTATCTATTGATAGATAGTATTATTTTATAAGTAATGTTTAAAGTTTAATTAATATTTTAAAAAATTAATTTTTTTAAAATGTATTAGATCAATGTAAGTGTGGGCATTTAAGATAGTTTGGAAAAAAATTAATTTCAAGATATATAAAAACTAATCTAGAGACATGCATCTTGACCATAAAAAAAAAAGGAAAAAAAGAAACACTCACATATTGGTTCATTGCATTGTTAGTTTGTGAAATAATGATTGAGAGATAAATTTTATGTATTTTTTATATAATTCACATATTATTCAAATATTGACTTTTTTTTCATTTTATTAAATTTTATAATATTATATATATCAACTCATTTAATAAAAATTAAATATTCTAAAAAAATGTTGCACATGGAAGTAGGTCATTCGTAATATCATTACATTTTAATTTATAATTTTTAAATTCTTTTAAATTTTGATTAAGTTGCTAATCAGTGGAGAGTTGAGATGGTGTTTGTATGGTAAGATATGAAAATAATTTTATTCTTTAATCAACAAGAGTAACCCCTAAGTGTGCCCCTAGATTTTTGTAATTTGTTTCAATTCCAACTTTAACTTGTTTTTACATTAATTAAGCCCTTATACTACCCCTATGTTCGATTAAGGACAGAGTTAAAAGAGAGACTCAAGCCACTGTGTAACTGATGTTTAAGTTAATCCTATTAGCTTCCCCATCTTCGCTTTGGTTATGTATTACAATGCAGGAGATGTTTTACATTAGCTTTAACATAGAGCCAAAAAATTAATTTCAATGAGACATTAAAGAAAAAGGAGACAACTCAATCATGGAATATTATGATTTTTCTTGTTAACTTGATCTTAAGTATAATTTGTACAACATAAATAAGGTTAGGCAGTGTTTTAATTAGTCAAAACTAAAATCTTTATACTGGTTAATTAGCATATCAATTATGTCATTCTTACAACCAATCATGAAACCATGTAAATATTTGAAATGTCTCCTCATCTCAATTAAGCAATGCATCTTCCTTTCATATCCACCCTAATGAACCTTGATACTTAGCTACATAATAAAGAGTTGCAATTGAAAAAATGTATTATAAGCATTTCGACACAAATAAAAAATCTTTTGAATTTTGAGTAAGTTACACTTTTAGGTTAGGGATTATTCTAATTTCTATACAATTGAAAGCTAGGGTTTTAGAAAATTGTCAATTTTTTGATAAGTTATGTAATTATCAAGTCCATAAACAATAAACATCCTCTAGAATTTGAAATTAAAGTTTAAATTTAAAATCAGTGTACATTTAAAAGTACATTGTTGATGCTTTAAGAAACTCAAAATCAATTAGTTAAAGTCTCCAATATCGATATCAAACTCATAGATTGGAGTTTGATTTTAGATTTCAAACCTAGATATGACATTGGAGTTGGAGTTTTTACTTTTGATGTTAGAGTCAAAGATTTGATGTTAGAATCAAAGATAGAAGAGGAGTGTTTGACCACTAATTTGAACCTTAAAATTGGTCAATTAATTTTGGTTATGTAATATGCCCTTATCAATTATCAAATCTTAGCCTCAATACACATTAATTGTCCCATCAACCTCTATTATTAACCATTTACCAAGCCATCTTAAGTTTGTAGCCTAAGATTCATGTGACAAGACTCAAAGACAGTATCAAGCTTACATGTGAGGAAGGCATGTTAAGCGAAAGACTCCTACATTGGTAAAATAACAAGGTTAAAACCCCTTTTTGGTTCTTGAACTATTGTACGGACCCTCGATTTGGTTCCTGAACTAAAAAAATCCCTGATTTGGTCCCTACTGTTTACCATTTTTACCTCGATTTGGTCCTTCCGTTGAAAAGTGTGTGACGTGGCCTGTTACTTCACGGTTACCAAATGACATGTCATATAATAATCCACATGGAAGATAATATAGCCAAAAAGTGATGATGTGGAAAAAATAATAATATAAAAAAATATTATCAAAAATAAAA